TTGAAGTTTTTCCCATTTATTCCACTCTTTTTCCCTTTCACTCTAAACCTGGAGCGTGGTTTCCTGGATCAGGAGTCTGTGATGCTGGGTGTCTCAGGGTGCTTCCTAAGACTGTTTTGTTTCTCCTGGGCCTTACAGCATTTCCTGCAACATCTGTGGATCTTACAGATGCAGTGTCTCTGTCAGAGTTAGACACTACCCATGGCTTTTTATTGCATGCATGGCCTGTTGATAGCAGGTGAGGACCTGACGTTGTATGTGTTGTGTGTATAACATTGTGTGTATTCTTGGGGGGGAGGAAAAAAGAAAAAAATCAATGAACTATATTTCCTTAGTAACCATCTCTGTCAATGTTTCCTGACAGGGTAGGTGCTCACAGAGGTACAGGTGTTTAGATTGTGCTGTTCAGTTTTCTGTATGCTCCTTCCAAACTTTTAAACTGCGTCACCTTCAAAGAATAAAGAAAGGGAAGAACACTGCTATCCAAATGACAAGTTTGCTACTTTGTGCGTTCCTGGAGGCGGATTCTGGCTTCTGTCAGTTGAAGTTTTCCTGCTCATGCATTTGGATTTCAGGTGTTGCTTTTTCAGATAGATGAGGTAACTCCTCCCAAAGCTTCAATAACCTTTGTTAGACCTTCTGTTTGTTGTGGTGGCAGGGAAATCCTCCAAATGTGAGAACTTGAGGCTTATTAAATTCAAAGTGAATCTAAAATAGGTATGAGGGAGATAGGTACTATCCATAGGTAGCATTCTCAGAATACAAACTCTCACTTTACCATTTGTCATACTGATGAATTCTTTTTTTTTTCCCTTTACCCCCCCAAAAAAAACCCAACCAGTAATTAGTGAAAAAGGTGATAACTATCAAAGGTATGACTCCTTTTCCTCTCTCTTGAACAGTTGCAGCTTACGAATTGTTTCAATGGATTGGTCAATTTATTAAAAATAAAATAAACAATAGAAAAGAAGATGAGTTCTTTACAGAATTACTTTAAATCACAAACAGGAACTAGACTGGCCCACAGATTGTCCTGAGAGGACAACAAATATGGTATCTCCTTTTCTTCTCTATCATATGAAGTTCCATTAAGCAGCATGTGCTCCTCTAAATGTATTTGCTTCACTCTTCCTATTATAAACTTTTTTTAGTCTGTGTTATATGCAGAGTAATTCCAAGACACAACAGAATCAGTAAAAACTCTCTGCATTCCTCTCTATTTTAATGTCATTTGTGAAGTAGTTTAACTATTAACATCTATAAAGCCATCTAACTACATGAAGAATAATCACATGATACATTTTTTTTCTAAGGAAATATTAACTTTAAACTGGGATAACCAACTTCCCAGAATTCACATAAAAACATAATGTAGTTAATATTAAATAAAAGGCTTGTGCAAGCTTTTATTTTTACAATATGTGCTGATGTGTCCCTGATTTAATCAGTTTTGTTTATGATTAATGAATGATTCGCCTTGAAGATCAAAGTTTGATTCATATCTCATAAAAAATTTTAAGAAATCATCTGTTTAGAAAATAAAAGAAAGCTGCTTTGTGTGTTACCCAGTATTACAAATTTGGCAAAACACACGCTGAGCAAATAAGAGAGGGAATTGAAGCTGACAGGACATAGGAAATCTTCAGTTATAACACAGGTGTTACCAAACCTCAGATTGTAGAGGAAAACTTCAGGTATAAATTATGTTAACTCGAAGCATGAAAACTTATCTTTTTTTCTCATTCTCTATGAGGTATTATCATAAATGCTAACTTATGCAGCAGAACCAAAAAATTAATTATGTGGAATACTTTTTATTTTTAATGTATTTATAAGGCAAAAAGGAATATATTCATAAAGAAAGGCAGCTGGAAATGTGACTAAGTTGCTTTTGTTAAAGAGGATGCACAATTGTGCAAGTCCAGAGTTTATATTTCACTAGGGGTATAACCATTTCTGTGACACTTCACCTACATAAAATATTATTAGGTAACATCTGAGGAAAGATCTGAAGTAAACTGTAACAGTTTATACACAGTATCTGTGTATAAATTCAGAGCAAAAAAATTGTTTGGTTTTATGATATAAGTGTATCAATCATAACATGTTGGGGGTTTTTCTGATCTGCAGTAAGGATTATTTTGAACAGATCCATGTTGGAGTAGGAACGGATGAATTTGCAGGAAACATTATTTATAAATAAACCCTGATATAATGGGAATGCTTTCATGTGCCAGTGACCTGAGATCCACAATATTGTATCTTTTAATTTTCAGAGGAGAAACACAGTCTGAAGATTGTCTGGGGTGGATAGATAATAGCCAATTTGATAGCATTCATTGTGTGATATCTAACAACCTTTTCTGACAAAATGGTTCTAGTACAATGATAGGCAGATGACTGTTCTGCTGTTGTCAATGGGTGACAGAAAATTGTTTATGCCCTAGTCCAGTGATAGAATAGAATTATTGTCCAAGTATTAATGCAAATTTCATGGAAAAATTCGACTCTCAACACATATTTATCTCTGGTTCTTCACTGAAGAGTGGGGGAGCAGGTTTTACGTGTTAGTTCTGGCCTGTACAACATTTAACTTTCTTAGAATAATTCTTCAGTGGTAATGATGCATGAGCTACAGGATGAGCAGTTGAAAAACACAGTGCAAAACCAGACTGTGTTAGGTGAGTTGCAATTTGTGCGATAGTTCAACATTTGCCTCTCCAGAGAAACATGTTACTGTTTTCCTGGTGAAAGAAATCCTTCTGTCTCTTTTTTTCTTCATTTACTCATAGACAAGTGAACAGTCAGTTACTTCTTTTAGGTAAAGTCTTGCAAGCAGAGGATTATGTCATTCAAATTGATTTCAGTGGCACTAACATATAACATATTACTAACATAACCTTCTTGATTATTTGATGTGTAATTTGGCATTATATTCTCTCTCAAAGGAGTTTGAGAACTTTTGAAAAAATGTCCATTTTCTGGTTCAGTAAGTTCACTGTTGTTCATGTAAACTCCATCTGCTTTACTTGGATTTTACATTTCATAACTCTTTGTTCAATGTATCATTTGGGCTGGTTCACCTTGGTATTGACATCACAGAGTTCAATGACTTCTGTATGGTTTGTTTCCCCACTTAAAAATAATATAGCTCTGAGAATTTAGAGTGATCTTTGTCCTGTGGTTTGCTTAATATTGTGAGTTTATGTTTTTCTTATTTGTTCAGAACTATTTGTACTTGGATTATTAATCTATAACTAAATGTTACCCTCTGTGTTCATCCTGCTGACGATAACTGGAATCAGACCAAAGCTGTTTTCCTTAAAATTGTGCAAAGCATGTTTATTGGCAGTTTCTTCTTCACTTATGATCTTTTTGGAATCACGTCAGAAGGGGGAAATATTAGCTCAGAGCAGTATTAGTACCTATTAGTTCTACCTTTTTACAGCCGGAAGCTTTGGATATTCTGCCTAAACAAAGCCTTAATGGGAATGCTGTCTGTCTCTCTCAACAGCAATGATTCAAGTAGAGAATCTGTACTGTCACTTGAACAATTATGTCACTTGAGATGAGCTATGGCCAGTCATTGTCTGAAATCACTGTGTAAATATCATCAAACATTTGTAAGGAAATATCTTGTATCACAAGGAACTGGTGAGGAAATGAACCCAAAGGCACTGTGCCATCTCCAGGTTGTCTCCACCTTTCCCTCCTCCAGGGTTCCTCAGAGAGGGCACTTCAGCCTGGTCACAAAATCTGGAGCACTTTGCCTTTCCTTGGACTGTCTGTGCCACTGGCTGTAGGGGTGGAAGTCCTTCTGCCAGTGAGAGCTTCCAAGCCTCCCTCAGAGTCATTGCTAGAGTCTTGAACTGTGCACAGGCAGGATCACACGTTTGATCCGCTCGAGTTGTACAAAAGATTCCAGGCTCAGGAGTTGTTCGAAAGTTTGTACCTAAAAACAAACAAACCAAGCATGATGCCATAAGAAAACTTTTGTTTGGGTTAAGACTTCAGTTTTAGATGCTGTCTGCTGTTCTGAAAGGTTGAACAAATGAAAGTTAAAAAAAAAAATCTTACTTATCATTGGTAGATTGAGTTCCTTATCAGCCTCATGGCATGAGGGCTACACAGCTTCTCTGCTGGTACTGTCACTGCAGTGTGTGCCATTGTTAAAAGCAGCCTTAAATAAAGGGGTTATAAGATGGATATTTATGTAGAGGTAGAGATCTATATGATAAAAATATGAGATCCTTAATGAGCATGTAACAGTTTGATGTTAGTCATATAGTGTGTTTTCCTTTTCTTTTTCACTACAATAGCATGTGAGAGATGGTATAAAACAGAGCACCTCAGCTTCCTAAAAAAATTAATCCAGTTTTGAACATCTAGAAGCACAGAATGCTGAAAAAAATAGAGGCTGTGTGCAGAGTTTTCAAACAAATAGAGGGTGGCACACACTCCTGTGAGTCTGCTTCGTTGGCTCAAAGTGTGTCACGTTATTGGTAAACCTTTCAGCTCAGGCAAAATTTCTCCTGCCATTAGAGTTTTTCTGAGTAATCTGTATTATCTGATCTTTAAAGGCTCTCCACTGACTTGAAGGAGAGTGAGGAACTTCTGATGCTATGGTTCAGATATCAGACATTCAACATAAATAAGCATTAATCTGTGATAGTGTAAGTGTTGGAGGTTCTTTATGGGTGGAAATCTTGCATACTCTTTTTCCTGACTGTTGTCACTGTGAAAGAGTATGGACAAATCTGTTTGGATAAATTTTCCTGTCGTATTTATCTTGAAGTAATCAATCTTAAAAACATGTTCCTATTCACGTCCTATCACAAATTTGAGGGAAATTGAAAAAAAAAAATTACTTACTCACATTAAAGTTAATGCAGTTGGAGACTTTCATCATAGATTCTAACTTATCAAGAAAATAGTTTGAAGTGTAAAGAGAGTTTGATGACTTTATCAAAATCTTCCTAATCATAACTGGCATCTTTTAAAGGGCGGGTTCCTGCTAAGTGGTCTGTATAGCACCACTGATGTGCAAAACAAGAAGTAAAAATGCCAGAGTTCCTCCTCCTCTCATTTTTCGTGGTAAGTGGTCACTCTTTCATATTTGCATAATGTATAAGTTTGGTTCTGAAACTCATTGAAGACAGATCAGCATTTTTTAAGAACCCTGTATTTGATGTCTGGCAAAATGTACATTTAAACTAATATTCACCAGTGTGTACATACTGGGTGAAACCCCTTTGTCTTACAAAATATGATATAAATAGTAATTTTTATTTCAGTAACACAATAAAAAATTACTCCAAAAATGTCGGGGATGGGGTGGGGGAACAACTGTGTGAAAAGAGATTAAGTTTTATGTGCTACTTTAGATGAAGTTTTATTTAATACTTTTTATTGTAAACTTTTCAATGCAAGTCTGCAAATTTCATCAACCATCAAACAGGGACTTAAACAGAAACTCTCTCATGATTAATAGCTATTTTAGATCAACTTTTGACAGATTTATAAATTAATTACGTGCATAAATAAGTGGGAGAGAAGGCACAAAAACAAGATGGCTATGTTATATTGTGATTATATATTTATGCTGACCTGGACCAAGCAGACTTCCATGTACTTACAATTCTAGTAACTATTTGGTTCTGTTTTTAAAACAAATGCAGCATAATTGCACTAGAATAAACACAGCCGATTTGAGCTGCATAAATGTAATTCAGATCATGGCTCATTATGTGATAATGCAATAAATGGCGTGAAGATGTATCAATATGTGTCAAAAATATTACAAAAAACTTATTTTTGCAAACAGAAATAGGTGTCTTAAATCACGCTGAAAATAGGACTGCACAAACCTTTTTAGTTCATTTAGTTCCCCTGAAAGGGTTACTTTCTAATTGTTTTATTAGCAATGCAACAAGCTAATAAAAATGGAAGCTTGTACTGCTTCGTAGCCGAGGCCTTCATAACGTGCTCAGAGCCCTTTAGTTCTGCTCTTGTTTCTGTGTAGGAATCAATACCACAGGCAGCAATTATGTGGTGGTGTTTTTTGGCTAAAATTCCCACACATCTGGGATAAACAGATATTCTATTCGAACTTCCTCTGTTAACTCCACCAGTTTCCATGGAATGACTCTCTATATGCTTGTTAAGTAAATGATTGTTATAAGACTATGGAGACATGGTCGATCAAATTAACCCCTTTTGTCCAGCCTCCAAAATGGTTCCCTTCATTTGCCTAAATTCAGCTGCTTTGGGGAATTTTTTCAAGCTTGAAGGACTCTCTGGATTCATCACATTAGCAAACTGTAACCTGAGAAGAGGGTCTTTGGAGCAGCAGGACTTCTTTGGCCCCCAATTGTTTTGCTAATCAAGATTATTGCCACTATTGAGATGTGGAAAGATAGCCTAGCTGACAAAATTTGTCAGCTTCCCATGAAATAGTTCTGTCAGTTTAGTCAGGGTGCCGGCTAATATTAACATATAAATGAAGTCTCTCCCCCTCACCCCTTAATAGATGCAGAGAAAATATAAACACACACACAAAAAACCCCTCTGTGCTTAAATCAAACAAGCTTCTTTTCTCAGCTCTAGCCCATGTCCCTGGAAATCCTGTGAGTAGTGGAGCTAAAGGGAGGGGGGAGGGAAGTAGAATTTGCACAAAACTACTTTTAAGCCATAAAGCAGCAAAGCCCCACTCCCTGCTGATAGCAACAGGAGATTGATTACGCCTGCAAAAGTACAAATGGTTGCCTGAATGCAAGTGGCAGACCTCCAAAGCAGTATGCTCTATGTGCTGGTTTTACATTTTACAGCAGAGGACTTGGATACAAAGTGGAAAAGTGGAACAGGGGGTATGAAAGAGTTATCTTTGCCCGGAGGTCAAACCCATGAGAGCAGTCCCTGCTGGTCTCAGAGCCGGGCCCAGGGGGATAGCAGGGGCAGCCTGGGCTCGGCGCTGCCATCGGCCCCACGGCACCCACAAACTCAATCCCTCAGCACCTGTTTTCTGCCTTTCACTCTGTTTTCTCATAATCAGAATACATATCGTATTTTTCAGCTGACCTACAAGGTGATATAACCTAATGCTCTTTCACCCACTTGCACAAATTTTGCGTTACTTTGTCAAAAGCAAATGCCTTGCATCATTCTGGCGGCAACTCTTTCAAATCCCAGCTGTACCAGACCATAAAGAAGTAATTCAAACTTGCACTCATTTTAACTGTAAGTGGATCTACTGAAAGTTCTCTTCATCCTTTATCCTGATTTAAATATAAATAAATAAATATCTCGTGATATTTGTAATCTGCAAGTCGGCAATATTGGCCTTTTGGTACTAAATTAGCCCTTGAATGGCAACTGTGCAGCAGCTTTGTGTAGTTAGTGTACCCATCGGAGATGACTCTTCTAACAAGTTCAATAGGCTTTGCAAAGCATAGCTTTAAATAGAAGAAATCCTTCAATCATGATTTGTTCTTGCTTTATGAGAAACAATCAGATTATTCCTTTGTGCTGAACTGTGACAATACTCTAAAGCATGAATGAAAACTAGAATATATGTTCCCTCAGTGGATTACATCAGCCTTCTTGATCATTAGGCTAACATGAAAAATAGATTTAATGTCTAAAATATCTGTCACTGAAGAGAATATTAAGAAAATTACTTGGGAGCAGTTCGTGGGAACTTCAGAGGTAATGAGTTAATGACAAAGCACAGTATTTGTTAAGAAGTTCAAAGCAGATCATTCCTAAAGAGTTCTAGGTGAGTAGCTAAGCTTCCTATTTCATAATTTCTGAAGTTGTCATACAGACTTGATTTCAACTTCTCCAAAAATGTTGTGTAAAATATTGCATTGTTTGCCCAGAATGTGGAGCTAAAGAAGCATTATCCAACAGTGTCATTGGTACCTATTGCCCCGAGTTTAAAGGGGCTTGCAGTGTTCATGCTCCTACCTTTGATCTGAACTTTCTCAACTGAGAAAAGTAACTGGGAGCCACAATATTAAGTATTGTTTGCAATAGGACAGAGTTAATAAAAATTCAGATCTCAGAATCAATGTGAATTTCCTGGATTTCAGTTGTAGCTCAGGGAAGGTTGATTCCATTGAATCCTGCTCCCTCTTGTACTCTGGCCCCTCTCCTGAAGGGTATGAGATGGGAGAAGGCTGAGGAATATCTTACTTATTACCCAACATGCAGTGTGTTGATGTTTTTGTACAAATGAATGAGTCGTCTTTGCCCCAGGGAGTTCCCAATCTGTTATAGCTTTTCATTATCTGTTACAGTATCAGTTCATCAAAACATATCTATTCTAAACTTTAGGTTCGTTCAGCTTTAGACCCTCTCACAGTCTGACTTCTGTTACAAGCATCAAGTTTAAAACTTTATATCCACCTTTAAATAATTAAAAGAGTAATATTGACCAAAACTCAGTCTTCTGCTAAACAGCTGTCTTTCAGGCCAGTGCCATCCAAAACTCATGTAAAGTTTCCAGGAGTCAGCAAGACACACTTGACCATGTGCATTGAAACCTCAGTTTACTCTGCATGGCTTTTGCTCACGTTTGTTACTGGTCACACTCCTTCATTTTGCACCTGCAGGACTTGTCAGGTATATAGTGCCACTAAGAAAAAGAAGTCCTGCCCGAAGGCAAGGGTGTGGAGCTTTCCTTCACTGTGGCAACTGCCCAGCTTGCAGACTTGCCTTGGAAGGGGAGCAGAGTGGTGCTTATAATGGAGCCCTTCATACCTCGGAGAGAACAGCTGCCTCACACTCCAGTGCACACAAACAAAACACCTGCTCAAACCAGAAAAAGCAGTAAGCAATGAGACTGGCTATGTGATGGATGTTGTTTAGACTTTCTCTTTTATCTTTTTTCAAATGTTATAACATGTTTTTTCAGCATTTTCAACGTTTTGAAAAATTGTGTGGTTTTGTTTGTAGAAACATTTTTTCTTCTCTTTTTGAGGAATATTAAAAAACACTGCCAATATTTTGCTTTTCATCATTAGTAAAGATAAATCTCCATAAGGATGGTTTGGGTAAGCATCCTGCAGGTTTGGCTACCCAGCTTTTAGCCTTACTTCAAACTGTATCACATTAACTTGAATACAAACAGCCCTTCATTCTTTCCTACCCTTTTACAAGATATTGGACAGATACTGAGTTTTGCCTAATGTGGTGTTTTTCTCTTGTATGTTGTAGATATGAGGGTGTATTTCTTGCACACAGTAATATAGACTTTCATCTATCCTATTGAAGGGGCTTTTAGTGAAACTTCAAGGGTGCATCAAGGATCTTTGTAAGCAAAATGGCATTTTGACATTTTAATTTTAAGACATACTTTTCAGTGTATCAGGCTGGGAGACAAAAATGACTCTTCAGGAATGGTGGAGAGATAAGTAACTCCACTGAAAATTATTATATGACACTGATTAAATGATGATGAGCTTATATCATAGGTTCACCAATAACATACTGTAACTCCTCACTTGTGTGTTCTGTTTCACACAGATTCATCCTTGTTTCTGATAGATTTCCAGCATTTTCAGCTGAAATGCCCATCAGGGCAGGGAAGCTCTCCATAATGGCTGTTGTCATATGGCAGCTGTTATCATTTGGACTTTGTTATACAAATTTATCATCTCCACCATTCATAATAAGCCTGACTGATGCCATAAAACCCTATACTGCCACCAACAATAATTGTCATTCTATTTGGAAGTCACAGAAGAGAGATTAAGGACTTAATGTTTAAATTTTAAATGAAATATTCTCTCACCATTATGGGTGGTCTCCTTCCCAAACCTTGGTAGGACAGTATAGTAACTCTACCCAGTGCTATTGCCTGAACTAAGCATTTAAAAAAAAAAATTGTCTTCAGTGCTGTCAACCTTTAAATGTTCTAAGTTGAATATGCACATAGACTGTATACATCAATCAAAATAAGTTTCGACTTCCCTTTTTTATTTTTAGCCTTGTCCTGAATTTTATTGGACTGACTAACTCTAAATAATAAGCATAACTATTTTATTTAACCAAGGGAAACGAATGGGAACAAGTTCCAACTGACAATGGCTCTCTGCTGGAACCCAGAGAAGCAAATGCAAGCAATGCAGTAAGGAAGATCAAACTTGTTACACTGCTGATATTCTAAGAGTTTGAACTCGGACTCCCTGCTGACCTCAATTTTACAATGATAATCATTTCCTAAAATGTCTTCATTTTGTAAATGAAGCTGTACCTCCCTCTGAAGCAGGGGTTTGCAAAGATTAAATCATTTACATTTCAAAGTGTTCATTTTTTTGCCAGTGTGAGAAATACTCAAGCAGGAAAATGAGTGCTCCTTTTAATTTTTGAAAGCTAGGAGAGCATTCATAGTGAAAATAATCACAGCCTATTACAGCAGCCTTGCTTGCCCATTCCCACTTCAAAAGGATGAGCCTATCTTTTCCCCACCCAGCAGTGAATGACCACTTAAATGAGTGATGGCTTATTAATACTATGACTCAGCCTCTTCTCGATAAGGAGAACAATAAGGGGTCAAAGCTTGAGCATCCCTTACAGGAATTAATGAGAACATGTTGCTGGTAATTTGGTCTTTTGGAGATTACATTTAAATTAAAAGGTTCTTGTGTCAGGCTTAATGGTGAGACCAATGTTGTCACTATTTGAAATCCAGAGGCTGCATTTTTGTCCTTTCCACCTGTATAATTTCACTGTCTTTATTAAGGTTGCCTTGGGGGTTGGACACCATTTAAAGAAAAAAAAAATCAGAGAAACTGACAAAAGGAAGTTCTCAAAAAGTAACCCTAAAAAATTGCTCATATTTATTTGGGCACAGTGTTGTTTTCAGAGCCAGGACATGTTATTACAAAAACAATGAAATGCACATATTTAAGATATGTTGCATTAACATTTCTTCATAAGACCTGGAACTGATTCATTTCCAAAGAATGAAGCTATGTGAAAAACAATTTACCAGGCAGAGGTATTTGTGTAATGGGGGGGGGTGCTTTTCTTTGGTTCTTCATCCTTCTTTCCATTAAAGACTTAGCACCTGGAATGTCTGGTTTTATCCTTAACTTTTTTTTTTTTTTTACATTTTATTATTGATGTTGAAATTGTTGTTTATGCTTTGAAACAAGAAACACAATGGTGGGATCAAAGTTGTTTAAAGGAGTTAACATTACTTATATTGTTGTGTATGTTATTAACTACAGCAGAGAAATTCAACCCACAGCCTTTTTATTATCTTTTTCTTGTAGTTGTGAAAATACTGCATGTAGCATCTTTTCTGACCTGAAACCAATGAAAAGATGTTCTAGGTAGGATTACAAATATAAACCAGTGTTCATTCTGCTAGCTAGTGCATGGTGTATTGCATCTTCAAGGCACTTTTAAAAATGTGAATTGACTATTTATAAACATTTCAGTCATAATCCGGAGGGAAAGTATAGGTAGTACAATTCAGCTGTTTTCTCATTGTGCAGTGGCAATAAAAAATGTGGAAAAATGTGCTATATTATTATAAAAATAGGTAAAGTATAAACATTTGAATTTTTATGGTCTTGATATGTTATTTCCTATGTATCTAGAAGTCATATAATAATTTTCTTTTTTTTTTATCTTCTGCTAAGATGATGTTACTAAATTTGTTGGAGAACTCCTACAAATCTTGAAAGATCTAAAACCGATACTGTACTCTAAGAAAAGCAAATATGATTGTGCTGAGATTAGTTGAAAACTTACAAAAAATTAATGGAAGAGTATTCATATAGAACATCAAGCCACAGAGAAGATTCTCTATTCCAATGTAAAAAATATTTAGATTTGCACTGGAAAATGGAAAAACGGGTTCCAGCACAAGCATACAAAATACTGAATAATGTCCTAATGAACCCTCCTTATTAGGCATTAGCTCAGCCTTTGTGTGATTCTTGGGGAAATAAAATGTCATTTTGACCAATAGTGTCATCAAATTAAGAATTCAGAAGGTGCAGGGAGGCTAAGTATGTATGGTATTATGATGGCAAGAGACATTGAATTGTTTAAATCCTTCACTTGTCTGTAAAGATGCCTAAAAACTTACTAGTTGAGAAAGTATTCGTTAAAAAAGCACTAGTTGAGTGCTTACAAAAACTATGAAACTTGTTTTTCATAGGACCTCTAAGCCTTCTAGGTTTTAAGGAATTAGAAGTCTTCCAGATCCTTTACCATGATCCTTGCTTGGGCCCCAGTGATGGTTTTGGTCCTTTATTTAGTCAGTTAACCATTGATTACTCTGTGCCTACTCATGATGCAATAGGCTTGTACATATTGCTCTTACCAGGGGCAATGAAAACTTGTACCATTTGGAAGTATAAAATATGACTACTCCATAATCAGGAGAATATTTCATGACTTGGAGTCTTAAGCAGCCCCTCTTTGCTATGCCATAACTTTTAAAAAGAATGTGAGCCACAGCAAGGAGGAAGAGTTGTAAAAAGAGGGGACGACTGGGGAGTCCCGTTTAGTTGGTGCCAAGGAGAGGGGCTGGCAGCCCCCAGCACTGGGCACTGGGAAGATGGAGCTGCCTGGAACTGCTGCCAGCCAGAGCCTCCCTGGGGGGTGGCTGGCTTGATGCAGAGGACTCTTGTTTTGTGACTAGTGACTGACTTATTGTTCCTGAGAAAAGTGGCAACAAGCCAAGTAAAAGCCCTTTTTGTCCTTTACTCCCAACAGGGGACTTGGTAGTGGTTTGTCATGTGCCTGGGCATAATCCAGGCAAAGTCCCCATATGCAATTAAAATAGGTTTTGCTACTGTATGTGTTTCTTAGGAAGTGGTACTCCAAGTTACGGGTACTGCTCATTCTTTTATTTAATATTTTTGTCTGATTTCAATGCTTAATTTTCTTGGAGATTGTTTTTGTCTTTTAATCAATACTCATTTCTCAATATCAGCACTCTTTTAAATAATTCTGATGGAGTATACATTACATAAAAAGAGATATAATTTATAAATAGTGATGTCTATGAGTAGCCATCTCTCCTTAATGTAAATTCCAATATATGTCATGATCAGAAATCTCCAACGTATAGGTTTACCATTTAATAAAAGTATTAGCAGCACATACTTAAATCTCACAGATAAATTATATCCCTTTTGAACTGTCATCACAGTAGTTTGTCATTATTGTTCTTTATGCCGTTGTAGCCTTTGTTAGACTTATATTTGTAATTTTAAAAGTTATTATTATCATTTTTTAAGGTACTTGAATGTAGTGGTACCAGAAAATCAGTCTTAGCTGTTAATCTGTAGCTGATGTAAGGTTTTGTGCTGTTTTCCACAGTTTGAATATTGTGTAAGAAGCTATAGTGGAATATAGATATCTTAGATGATCATGATAGATATATATGGCAGACAGAGTCTCACAATTATTCATGCTGAGTAGTGGTTGTCCAGTAGATTATTTCTATTAAATCCAGTGGAACATTACAGGAAGGCAGGGGCTGTGCAGTGCAATTTAACAGATAATTTGTTTTAGCTGCCTTTTCTTGCAACAAATCTATGTTTTGTAGTGCAATATTAAGAAACATTTGAGAAAAAAATGTTTTCTGTCAGAAAAATATCCTGTTAAAAACAGAAAGGTTCATACAATGCTTTTAGGTTCCTGGAAAAAATATAATTGCATCCAGATTACAGTGATTGGTCTAAGACAGTTGCCTCTGTAATAGAATACACAATGTTGGGATTATCCCCTCTTATGTTAAAGCACGTTTGGCTGCTGTAAATATTTCTACAATATTGTAGAAATATTTCTGCAATAATTCTATGTTATCTCTGCATAATTGTAGAAACTCTATATTAAAAAGTTAATAGGAGAAGTTGAGGAAATTGATACAGAACATATCTAGAAGGTGGTTAGACTGTTCACCCAGAATCTGCAAGTGGGGAGGATATTGCCACATCCATGTGACTGCTTTTTCATTAAAACCTTAAACCATTCCCTTTTACTCTTGTACAGGTATATGGACAGAACTGGTGGAATGTGAGACTCAGGGGATAAGAAAGATGTGGCACTCGATTCTGCTTTTTAAAGAGTATCCTAATTGTAAGTATCTTCAAGAGTTGTTTCTTATAATTTTAACAGCCCTATCTTGCTGTGTAATACCATTAATATGTACCTAGTGCAAGGTATTGCAAGAAGCATTCCTTTTTCTTAAGGGAGAACCTTATCCTGATTGCTTAACAGAACTCTTTAATTAATGAAATGGTGCTGCTTATCACAAAATCAGCTTTGTTCATGTTTGCATTATTGTAGCTTCAAAATGCTTCCTCTTTATCCATGGTTCTTTCCTGATGATATTGGAAGTAGCGTGGTTCCCAAAAAGATGTTTTAGCATTTCTCTTCTGAGTAATTATGAAACACTGAAGTACTTTCTATTGATTTAGATTTTGTATCTCATAGGTCCTGATCCCTCAACAGAAATATTTAACAGGGGAATGTCTGGGAGTGGTTTATTAATGAAATGTATATAGTCTAGAATGTAGTGCACTGTTGACAGATTCAGTAGGAGTCCCCATCTGACCAGTCAAGACTGGCAGTGTAAAGCACTCTGAGGGCAAGGCCAAGCACAAAGCAGAATAATTTAGGCCCATTTACCTATGTAAAATTCCTGCATAACTGATTATATTTCCCTTCATGCAAGGAGAAATGCAACATACTCTCAGCTGTCATCTGCTAGGGAACCATCTTCTGGAACACACAGCCAGTTTGACTGTGGGACACTTAGTCCAGGTGGAATTTCTCCAACTTGCTGGAGTTAAATTGTTGCCAGGATTGTGTCCTGCAAATAAATAGAGGAAAGAGATAGTCCTGCTGGAGACCTGATTCTCAAAAAAAAAAAAAATTTTTAAACAAATGGCATTTCTGAGAAATTAAGTAAAATGTTTCAAGATAAAAGAATGTTTGAGAAATTGAGTAAAATGTTTCAAGATAAAAGAATGTTAAATATAGCTAGAAATAAGAGAGCCATATGTTGAAAGCATATCGGCTTTGAAACCATGCACTTAACCCTGGGACTCAACAAGATCTCACATTTTAAATAAAAAATTTAACTTCCTGAAAAGATAAAGTTCATTCATCTTGAGGGTAGCCTAGAAAAAAAATAGGGAAACATAATCTGTGGAGAAACCCTTCACTTAGATAAACATCTTTGACATTAGGAAAAAAGAATATAACGTGTAAAAATAAGATGGGTTGTATCCATTCCTAAAGAGCTCTGTTGTTACATTTGTACATCAAAGTAGGATTAGGGTTATTTTCTGAGTGGTTTTTTTGGCTAACAAGTACATTATCTTACAAAACCATTGCCAGAAACATAAAATCTTTGTTCAATGGGAAAGAAATGCACCATTTTAGCACTCCTATTTGAAACATTATACAGAGTGCAGGCTGTTCTAAGTTCAATGCAAGTGTTACATAAATATACCCATTAGAAATTTGGTCCTCTAGAAGGAGTTTGTTTGGATGCTTCTAAATAATATTGATAAATGTCAACATTTGAGCATAAGACAGTATGCACAGTTTGTCCAACCACCATCTATGTTCAATTGAATTGATTTTATTTCTTACACAAGCTGAGTTTTCATCCCGGAATAAGTTTTCCAGTAACAAAAGGGCAGATCAGGAAATGTGTAAAATGGATCAGTGCCCAAAAGACTAAGTTATACATCTATTCTTGGAAAAACATGAGGACATGATGTCTTAAAAAGAAAGGCATACATTACAGAACATAAATTCATTTGAACTTGCATGTTGAGCCGCACTGTCTCTAGAAATCCTCAGCATGTTACTGACTGTGACACGTAGGCTCTGCTTTGGAGGTTGTTACCTTAGACAGGGAGGGCCAGTGAGTGCCATTGGAATAGAGTGGCCAATTCCCCAGGGATTTTACTGATTTTCATGGAGGACTCAATAGTCTCAGTGTGTTGGCATGAGAGGGTGTTCCATCTTCATTGGAGCTTTCTTTCATTCAAGAGGCATTCAAGTTCTTGCCATTTCGGACACATTTGAAAACACTTTCCAGGTAAAACTGTTGAGTTTACATTCCTTGTTTCAAAGAACCCACATGTTGTCTGTGCCTGCACAAAGTAGTCTGACACCCTTTTAGAAATCAGGTTTGCCTTTTCCCTTTTGTACAGAACACTTCATAAGCCCCAGTAAAACTGCAGCCATGGTGGAGAAACAACACGTGGTGCCAGTGGTAACAGCCTCTGAGAAACAAGGAAAATTTAAGGAATTAAGAGTACAACAATCTCTGATAAAACCTGCCCAGTTATTTAGTATCATAAATGCATTTTGGAACAGTGTCATGTTCATTATATACATTAAAAGAAGCAAACACATATTTGATTGTCTCATTAAGAGCAAAAGTTATATTTTTCAATAACGTCCATGGCACTGGATCCAAACTGTTAGAGGACTGCTTGAATAAATGCACTGTGTTTTCATGATGTATGCTTTCTCTAGAAGTTACCCTACCTTCTGATGATTGAGTCTAACCCTCTTTAACTACTTTGACAAGATTATTGCCTGAAGTAACATTTTTAATTAGCATTCTTGTTTGTTTACGTCTAGAGATTGAGGGGGAAAATAACTGAAAACTTTGGAACAGCTCTTGAGTCTGCACTTGCTCTAAGCTGGAAGAAAATAATTTTTAGTATATGTTTAAAATTATGTAACACATTTCAGATGTTGGTTCCGATTACTGTTGAAATGACATTCAAATCTGGGAGTGTTTCTCGCTGGTTTTGTCCTTTTAAAAATTTCCACTGTGCTTTTTTTCATCTTTAATTAAATTTCAATTCGTTTTATAATAGCAATTAAAGTATTTACAGCAAGAAATTCTATCCATTTGCAAAACTGCAATAAATTGTAACATTTTCACAAACAAACTTTGTATAAGGTTTGCAAAGTCTTTTTCCTGTATTTGTGAGGCATTGAAGGGTAGATCATCAGCTGGTATAAGTCACTGTCATTCACTGGAGTCAGAAGAGCAATTTTGATTTACAGCAGTAGAATTTGGCCAATAATCTAATTAATATAATCAAAACCATGTACAGACACCAGAATAAACAATACCAAACAGTAAGGCAAGTAACCTATCTTACAATGAAAATAAAATGAATGTCCCAGGCTTCTTAAGTCACTGTTTCATTACATAGCTTTGCTTTCTATCATCTTTGATCTCCTTCATTTCATTAGAGCAAACTTCTCGTTAGAGGCATGAATGTCTTCCTATGAAATGGATCTCACTTTCAACACTGATATCTACTGACTTTTTCCAGTTTCAGCTTTAGTCTTTTTATACAGTACTTAAGAAAAAAAAAAAAGCAAAAAACGAAACAAATTATTACATCATAAGTAGAGGAACATATGGCACATCCAAAAGTGAGTACACAATAAATATGTTTCTAATAAATACTTTGGTGCTGAGTAAATTACAGAAGAGAGCAGACAATAAACCACCATTCTGCTATTTATGCCTTTTCTTAGCATGGTAGCAGTTATTAAATTAGTTTAATCGTAGCCAAGCAGTTGAGGTGCAGTAGCACTGCTTATTACACCAGCCATTATCATCTCACTGTTACCTTGGGCTTTCCTCATCTGTTTTGTATCCACTGTATTGCTCAGATTCATAGCTTGCAAGCTTTCTTATGTTATATAAAAAATGGGTATATTTGCATGTCACAACTGGGCCTTGATATATGATTATGGCCTTCAGGGTTTTTTCAAGAATATATACTGATTATAATAATTTCAGGGCAATGGAAAAAACTCATTTAGCCTCAGGATAGAACACTGTGTAAAAATTTTACCCTGTTCAGCTTGTATTGATTCACAACTGCACAGAGAAACAGAAGAGAGAAAGCTTAGAAGAGCATGCCCACTACATACCAATTTTAGCAATGGTTGTACCCACAGTAAATTCTACAAAGTTAGGACATTTTTTTCATTAAGTTATACCAGTTTAATTGTGGGTTTTGTGAATTCTGAGTATTAGGATGAATCAGGACATTTTCAGTGGGCTCCCTCACCTGTAATAAAAGTAATGGAAGACCTGCATTTTGAAAAACTCTGCATTTGGGAGCAGATTCTTATATCTGGACAAGTGAGGCTTCTGTAAATACACTGTCCCATTACAGCTTTCTAATTAAAGATCAGTTACAGGAAACAGTAAATTTAAAATAGTGGTGACTATATTAAAAAATCCCGGGGAAAAAGGAGACCATTGAAGATAAGGAGGCAAATATCCTATTAGAAGAAATAGAACTAAATGCTCTATGGTGACTCTAAAGCATTGTGCAAGTATTCACAGTGGGCTATAGATGAGAATATGAAAAAGATGAGTGTTCTAACATCAAGGGGTATGAATGACAAACAGATGCTAAACAGACAAATGAGCTATGGCTGAAGGAGGCCAGTACTGTTGTATGCTGAGGGAAGAGAGAGGAGAGGAAGAGGTGGATAAAAAAAAATATAGCCCCAGAGAAAGCTGAAAACCATGCTGAGAAGTAGTCTGGAGAAGATCACAGGAAACAGCTTATGGAATTAAAAACATTTGGGAAATTACAGCACTTAGGAGGAATTAAATATAAGAAAGTAATGGTCATCTATGAAAATAGAAACTTCAAAAAGGAAGGGACTGCAGCACAGAACCTGGAGGAGAAGAGCTAGAAAATGAGGAGATATGATCTCAGCATGAATAAAGAGACATGCTAAGGACCCTGTGCAACGTATCAGTCTCTAGGAAGACCTTTCATGAACAGTTAACAATAGATTTTGGCAAGAGAGAGCAAGGAAATGTCTGAGAGACAGGCATATCTGACTGAAGTGATGGTCTTACATCAGTCCCATCATGACTGGGAAGAATGTGTATCAGATATAAATAGCATCTTAATTTATTTCAAGTGGTTATAACTTGCTTTTCACTGATACTCCTTATTGTTAATTTGTTAAAGATGCTGGAATATATAGATAAATATAAGCATAATTTACAAAGTAATGTAAATTTACATTGAAAGAGAAGTGCTAAAATTGTGCAAATGTATTTTTTATATTCCTGATGAATTAACCATATTGAAATTATTATTTTCAGACTCAATTCTCCCATTAAGCCAGTGGAAATATTTGTCCTGTATTCAGATTTAAGAAATGGACCCAAGCATAGATAAGAAAATGAGTTCATAATGAGAACAGATGCTACAGAGACAAAAGATATCTTTAAAAATTGTATATGGCTTAATCCCATGGCCATTTGCTGTGTGCATTTACAGTCTAGCTTTTAAAAGTATTTAACAGTTGTTCCTCTCAGCAGTGCAACATGTGTCTGATTTAGGAGCTGCATAGTCAGTGCTCACCTCCCTGCCTCTGTCAGCCAGGTAACTTTTCTGTGTGTTTGCCAGACCATTTCTGTACCAAAGATGGTATGAAGTTTCATGGGAGCCCAAGTTTCATCTCATTTCCTTTGTGCAAATACTTCCGAGGTGCAGACTGCAGGATTTGAGAATCTCATTGAACTGGACAGGAATGAGGCACCTCAGTACCTTTGTAGGTCTTGTTCTAGCCTAGAGTTTCATGAACAGGGCCTACATCAGCTATTGCTTAATACAGTGCCTTTTACCACCATCAGTATGGTACCCAATTTTAAGTGCTTATTTATCTGAACAGAGCTTGCTTGTTAATTTGTTAAAAGTTTTGAGAGATATAATCCCAGAGCTGGTTAGGCTAATGTAGAGTAACTCAGCTACTACTCATTTTTTTTTCTTTCAAAATTATCCAGAAGGTGGGAAAAGTAGTTTAAAATTACTTTAAGAATGGGTTCCAGATCCCTCATATGTTGGGCAAAAGGGATGAAACCCACTGGGGAAAGGGGGGAGTGACCAGCTGTGTTTGGAGAATGCAAGTTTTTTCAAACTATGGGGATGTGGGGGAAAAAATGCTTTAATTGTGGGTTCTGTGAATGATGATCCAAGTGTGCCTAAGAGCAGAACCTCAGACTCCTAGTGGAAAAAATTCTTGAGTATGTGTGTGTTTGATTTTCTACATGCCTCTGAGGTGATTGCCAAGAGAGAGCTTTTTACCTTTTGGTTTTGTCCATCCTTGCCTGAGATTACAAATTGGTCATACCATAACAGCTTGTTTTAAAGTTACAAAGTCATCAAATGCTTCTGTAATCATAGTAATAGTCATATCTTTCAGTTGTATTGCAAAATGGCTGTGTAAACTGAGCATCTATGTAAAATACATGAATGAATTCAAGAAATTTAACAACCGTCAGAGTAATGAGAAAATTTGGGGAAAAATAGAAAATCACATGAGCTACTTAATTCTTCCATTTTAGAAAGTGAAGGTGTTACAAGTTTGTCAGGGAGACTGTTACAGTGATTGATTTAAAGTTGACCCAGATATACTGCTTCAGCAGGGAGCACAGTTTGGAAATGTGCATTAAACGCAGTTGATAGTGGAAATAGTAGGATCAGAATATGAAAGAGAGAAGAAACCAGAGTCAGAGGTTCCTCTAAATTCCATATGGCAGCAACAAATGTGAGGCAAGCTAAGCTTACCTCACACAACAGAAGTCTCAAGTGTTGAATGCCAAGTTAGACCCCAAAAATAACATTTTTTTCCTCATTCGCTTCAGCAGAAGTTTAGTAACTGTGCAGCTGGAGAGACAAGAGGAAATGAAACAGCAGCATTTCTCAGAAAATTTAAAGATAAGATGCATGCGTGCTAATCAGCCAGTGTTTATGTCCTCCTCCTTTGTTTTTCCCTGTCCACTTTCCTGAGTTAGAAGGGTACCCTCAGGGTTCTGGCAGAAGGAGTATTCAAAAGAAAAATACAGCTGCTTTCCTTAGAAGTTCAGCCAACTTTAGTGCAGCTACAGCCCTTACAGAGTGGCATCTACCTATCCTGAGGAAGCTGAAGGTTGTTTTACTCCCAGGAGAACATGTTCTACCTTATGTTTCTTCGGTATTTTTCTTAATCCATTACTACTTGCAACTTTGCTTCTGGGTAATAAGAGCTCATTACAGTGCTTTTGCCTTGATGATTCAGAATCCTGAAATTAAAATAACGTGGGCTCTAGGATTTCCACCAGCTGTGTTGAGATTGTGGCTCTTTTCTCTTTCTTAACTAAAATACTCTACATGTTCCAGTTTCAGGTGACATGGAAGTCATCTTGACCTAGAGCTCTAGAACTGTGAACAATCTTATCTCTACTTAACCTGCAAAACCATCAGATATTTCTGGGCAGAGAATACAAAGCTACAGGGGCCAGCAACATGACAAATGGTATAATATGTTAATTAAATCAGCATAGTACAATACCATTGTGTTCCTGGGTAGCCTTTTTCATTTTGAGCACCTCGACATGCACTCCAAATTTTTATGCAACCTACAGCTTAATTCTGTATTGATAATATTAGAAGTATTGTTTTTACAAATTTTACAGGATGGTTCTTTTGTTCTATACATTCACAGATTAAGTACAGAAGAGGTAAAGAATGAGGATTTCTAAGCCTTTTGAATTTAACTTGTTTTGAAACCACATCTAGTTACAATATTTTTTTCTGTATGGATTTAATATTTTTTAAATACTCCATGGTAATGGGTTCTGTGCAGGTGATACTGTGATGTTTCTAAAAGTAATTGTAATTGTAATCCATTAAAGTCTAGCTAGTGCAATATCTATCTGGTAAAGTCTGGGATTCATGAGGCTACAAAATAATTATTAAGATAATAGTGTAAAAAATGAGCAAAACCAAATTGTATAATATTAGCTTTGATAAATTTTGTTCCATAAAATTAATTTTTGAAGTAGACATTTAGTAGGTTGAGCATATGAGTATCCGCCCTACAAAAGTATATTTTCTCAAATTAAAAATATCTTTCTTACAGAATTGGCTACAAGTGCCTTTTCTTATCTCTTATGGTTTCCAGTACTATGTAAATTCATAGCTCAGAGGAATGGTGTAATCCCACATAATGAGTTGCATGATATACTGAGCCAGTTTTAATGTATCTTAGTTTGAGAGAGGATTTTATTACTTTTCCCAAATATTATTTTGTTTTTTCAGCATTATCATAAAACCTCATTCATATAACATTAAATATCTTCTTTAAAGCTTACAAAGGCACCAGAACTGAGGGGATATGGACACAATGCAATCCTTAACTCACCCCTATTGTGCAGGAACAGAACAGGAGCCTCAAAGCTGCTGGGGGTCTTACATATCTCATATGTGCTGGAACAATGAAACAAATTATGAACAGGGCTTAAGGCTCAACTCTGAATTCTTGCCTTTGTGAGTTTGTGTCTCATGCATGGAGAGCATTGATTTTGCAAGGTACTCTGAGATGTGGCCTGTCTGTCTGTGAATAGAACCAGATGGATTATTTTCTGAAGTTTGACATTCAGACAGGGATCTCTTCTTCTTTGGTCTGGCACTTTTATTAAGTCTACACAAGTAGGTTTTATGTATTAATTCATTAATTTCTGTAAAAATGTAATTGTACTGGTAAGAGCATGAGTGTTAATCTCAGACACTGCAATGCTGTTCTGTTCTGCTTTAAAATATGCTAGGATAAAAAATGCAGTTATGTTAATGTGCAGAATCCAAACCCACCCAGCTTAGACTGTACTTAAGAAATTATTCTAAGGTCAAAGATGCATATTCAGAGTTATTTCACAGAGAACATCTCAAATGGTAGTTAGTTTTCCAGAATGTTTCAAATTTATTGAGTTGGTTGGCAAAAGAAATACGTGGCTGATATAAGGACAATGTATGAGTGTTCACAGCCCCTGCAGTCCCACCAGTGATACAGAGCCAGGTCACATTAGATGCCATGGAATTGAATCTGCTTTTGGATGACCTTCCTGGGTTTACTCCAAGAGGAAAATACTACTCAGGGTAACAAGCTAAGCCCTTAGCTGTTCAGAAAACAAATGCTGTATTAAGTTTAATTACTTCAGCCACCTACTAATGATCTGAAAAATCTTTTAACAAACCAAGTGTTCTCAGCTAGGCTGTTGCCTTGGCTGCATGATCTTTCTCTCTACAGCCGTGTGGAAGTGCAGCAATCAGAGTTTAGATTATTCTTTTGGCAGGTAATGAAACATAGAAGCAATTTCTCTTTACCCTTTCACCTTAAATTTTGATTTGGTGACATTATCAGATTGATAAAGATGAACTGAATCTGTCTCTGCCGATACAGAGAAGTGAACAGAGGGAGAAGTTGTCATTACAAATAAAAAAGGTCAATAATTATGGACCAAATCCTGATTTGACTGAAGTGACACAAATGGCATGACTTTCAGCAAAATTAATAGTTGCAAATCACTGACAGTAAGCCCTAATAAAATGTTATTTCTATTCATAAGTTTGTTCACAGTTCATATTTGCATTATATAAAGAAAACTTGAAAAATCCTTAGAATATAAATATATTTAATAGAAATATTAAATTTTTTTCAGACTACTGTGAGGAAAACATGGTATGTTCATGGTGTGTGTAAAAGAACAGCTGTTAGCATTCAATTACATATATATGTCATACAGAAGCATGCATCTCAGTACAAGCATCAACAACTGGATGCTGTTCTTATAACAGTAAGTGGAAGCCTTATCCCTGAGTCACAATTCTGAGACTTTGAAATGCAACTTTCTTAGAAGGTAAAAAATGGTGTGGATACCTTGACCCCTTCTCTTTCTGACGTAGAAAGATTGAACATCGTGAGGTTTTTGATCCTTAAAATGCAGTAAGTGTGAGTCATAAAAGATACCATATAACAGTTCTCCTAAGAAGTAGATGCAGGACACCTGTTTATAGCTTAGGGAGCTCTGCTTCACCACCTCCTTGGCCATCCTTTCAGTGTGATTTATATACATATGTGGAACACACTTAGAAACTTTCAGAATGCAAGGTTTGTACAGTGGGATGTTATTAACTGAACAATTATTTTCAATTTTTAGTATAGCTACTGCATTTCAGAAAAGTAGATGGAAGCTCCTTTAGTTTTGTTTTAATTACAGCTCCATGACAGCATTTTCTCAACTTCTAAATAGGTCTCTGCTTTTTTTTTTTTTCCTTTACAAGTGAAAAAGAATCACTGGCCAGTTCAGAGAAAAAAATTTTCTTTAGTCTCAAGGCTTATGTATTCACTAGGGAGGTTGGACTGTGCTCCAGCAAACAGAATTAATCAGCAAGTCAGTGCTTTCCAGAAGTAATGTGTAACACCTTGTTTTGTTCCTTGGTTCAAAAGGCACTGTCACTGTTGTACACCACTGTGGGTTTTTTTTTAAAAAGCTATAATTCATATGCAAACTAAGGAGGAATTCATGATTTCATAATAAAATGTTGAAACGCTTTGATCGTGAGCTGGAAGGAGGTGTGAAACAGTGCTTCAGAAACAGACAGATATTTGTGTAATCAGCCTTTATGTATTGCCAGTTCAGAATAATAACATATAAAAAGCCCCAACTTACCTCATCTGCCTGGTACAGCCAAGGCATAAATAAAAGAGAACAATGGAATTACTATTACTCACTCACTGAGCCCCAGCTACATCACTGTATTCTTTATAATTGCTGGCAAGAAGATTAATGTTTTGTTAAATATCAGAGTAAGGTCACAAGGGGGCTTGCAGGGCTGTCTAAACATCCAGGTTTTAAACTTCCTTCCTTCCTACCTCCCTTCCTTCCTCCCTCCCTTTCTTTTTCCCTTTTCCTATTTTTTTATTTTAATTTCACAGATATGAACTTTCAGCATTTCCTTTAATTATTGTGACTTCTACATTTTTGCATTTGAAAACTTTTGACAACACAAAAACCAAGTAAGGACAACAATTGTATGACTGATAAAGATAGGAAGATGGTGGGGTTTTGTGTGTTACAAATAGACACAAGTTCCATTTTGCCTGTCTTATCTCTGTTCCTTCATGTCTGTTAGTTCTGTAGTCAAATTAGGATTTTTTTTCCTCATTATGTTAATGTCAGTTATCTTAAGTAATGATCTATTTGGTTTAAAAACAGTCTTTGTAAATGTCTATTAATTTATAGCTTGTGAACAGCAGGACAACAGTAGTTCAGGTGAAAACCTCATAGTTTTGCATATTGAGGAGATTTTTACCTTATAAACCTCCAGAGTATATGTACCACCAGACTGAGGTTACCAGCTCCAATTTCAGATCTTTTGCAGCAAACAAGTACTGACAGTTTTCCTTCGTACAGATAAAACCTCACAGTTATCAGTCTCCCCATCATTATATAGAAATAGTAAAAGAAATATTCCGTTTCCATCATAAATTATTTTTGGGGGAGGGAAGTAAAACATCTGATCCATATACTAGAACAGCTTCCCTTGGAAATACAGGCTAACATAGAAGATTTCTGGTAAATATAAACAGAGTCGTTTCTAGTGAAGAAGCAAAGAAATTATAGTCATCTTAATCTCTTGTTTAGACTATTGCCAGTCATTTGCAAAATGCAAATATCTTCCTCATTTGGCTAAGATTATCCTCCCAATTACACAGGAGTAGTCTGGGCAGCAGCAACCACCAGGTTCATAAAATATGTGTTTTCTGTCTAGCCCCAGATCCACCTAGTGTATCTTTGGAGAAGTAATGAACCTCTGAAAACAGGTTTTGGCCCTGGAAGTGCTCAGTGTGGATCCAACACAAGGGCTGTCCCCTGAGTGCCACAGGACCATGATGTGCCCCCTCTCCCTCCCATCATGCTCAGTCAGCTCCCTGAGCAATTGCTTCTGAGAATGCTGAGTGGGCATTAATGGGACCAATAAAGCAGAAGAAGGTCTGTATTAAAGAATTCTTATTTCTTGGTGGCATTTGCATGCTAACGCTGAGAGGGCTCCTTAACAGAACTGTGCCATTGAGTCTGTCACTGTCTGTTAGTGGAGCAGGTCTTTTCTCAAGGAGGGGTAACTTTATGTGGTATTACTGACTTTTATGACCGTTATCTTCAGTTACCTAATATTAAAAATTACTTCAAAGATCAATATATGGACAGCAGTGATGAAAGTCATACATTTAAATTCTACCACTTTGCATAGAAATAGCAGAGCTGCAGAAGAGCAGAATAAGCAGATCCCAACACCTGAACAGCTCTGAGTGATTTCAGAAGAAAAGGTTTAACAATCTGAGCTAAAAGGGATAACAGATTCAAGAACTCCTGTTCTTGATCCAGTTTAATCTATGACTCTTGGAAAAAGTATTTTTTTCTGTCTTACTCACTTTACCCATTAGAAATGAAAAATAATGAAAAATCTGTTCATGTTTTCCTAGAGGTCTGTCACAGAAATACTGTGTCAGTAATTTTACACAAATAGGTGTTAGAGTGCT